GAAGGAGGGAGGAGATAGGAGGAAGGAGGAGGGAGGAGGAGGGAAGGCAGGGAGCAGGGAGCAGGAGCAGGAGCAGGAGCAGGGAAGCATGAAGGAGGGGAGGGAGGAGAGGAGGAGGACGGAGGAGGAGGAGGAGGAGGAAGCAGGAGCAGGAGAGTAGGAGGAGGAGGGAAGGAGGGAGGAGGGAGGAGGAGAGGAGGGAGGAGCAGGAGAGAGGAGGAGGAGGAGGAGGGAGGAGGAGGAGAGGAGGAAGGAGGAGGATCTGGATGGGAATTGGGAACCACGTCGGGAGCAAGGCTGGGCCATCCAGCAACGAAGGATGAAGAGCCGACCCTGCACCGCTAAGCGGCACAGGGCGGCCCTCCAAACAACATGCCAGAGGACCCGACCTAGAGAGAACAACCGCGATGAGTCCCACGCAGTGCAAAGCAGGGGCAAGCAAGCGGTAGGCTACAAACCAGTTCCATTGGTTGCCTCCGCTGGCCACGAGGAATCAATGAACTGCGCACGATATAGCACAGTCGTTCAAAAAGAAACAATATCCTTCTCCTCCACCACCACCTCCTCCTCTCCTCCATGCCTCCACCACCCCATAATCGAGCAGACAACACCGGGCGAAGAGGCAGGGGGAGGGAGGGATACAGAATGAGGCAGGAAGGGAGAGGAAGGCTAAACGGGAGCAAACCGCTTGGCCATCACATCCTTCTCATTGTCCTTGCTCTTGGCAGGAGGCGCTCCCGTACTGAATCGAGCAAGACGTTCTTCACGAGACACATGGCGAGCAGCAGGGGCTCGCACCTGGGCCCGCGAGTTATGGCCATCTGCCCAGGCGTCCCGACTGGCAGAGGGGGCGGCAGCATCGCCAGGAAGAGCTCCAGGAAGCGGCGCATGTCCCGCCTGGCCGGCAGCGCCTGCAAAGGGAGCAACTCCACTGCCGTGAACAGCTCCAGAAGCACGAGGAGTGGGTGCAGCATCAGCAGCAAGAGGAGAAGCAGGAGGGTTGCCGGGGGGCGCACCAAAGGCCTCCTTGGCCTTGCCCTTGCCGTTCCCGATGACCTTGCCCTTGTCCTTACCGGCCTCGGAGTAGGGCCTATCACTTGGGTCTCGGCTTTCGCGAAAAGAACGAGAGTAGCCAGGAACGCCAGAAACAACATGGGGCTCAGGATCTTCACCGAGACCGTGAACAGCTGCCGAGAAGTTCAAGTGCCCAGCTGACGCGAGCAGCATGCGGAGCTCTGCAATCTCCTGTTTCATCACGCTGAGCTCGCGCCGCAACTCGGAGACCTCCGAGGCCCCAACACTACCTGGAGCGGAGGTGTGATGCGCGGCACCGGCCTGGCGCAGCGACAGCAGCCATTGCACGTTGCGGGCAGTGGAGCGCTGTTTCTGCTCGCGACGGCGGCGAGCAACACCAGACGAGGCAGCGCCGACAGCAGCGCCAGACATGGCCGCGGCGGCGCGAGCGGGGCAGTCAACCTGGGGAGGTCGCCTGCCAAGCGGAGGAGGAGGAGGAGGAGGAGGAGGAGGAGGAGGAGGAGGAAGGAGGAAGGAGAGGAGGAGGAGGAGGGGGCCGAGGAGGAGGAGGAGGAGGAGGAGCAGAGCAGGAGGAGAGGAGGAGGAGGAGGAGGAGAGGAGGGGAGGAGGAGCAGGAGGAGGAGGAGCAAGGAGGGAGGAGGAGGATTTGGAGGAAGGAGGGAAGGCGCAGGAGGAGGAGGAGGAGGAGAGGAGGAGGAGGAGGAGGAGGAGGAGGAGGAGGAGGAGCAGGAGCAGGAGCAGGAGCAGGAGCAGGAGCAGGAGGAGGAGGAGGAGGAGGAGCAGGAGCAGGAGGTGGAGCAGGAGGAGGAGCAGGAGTTTGGTTTTACCTTCAGGCTGCATTGACTTCGGGCTGCTCCCACCCCGCCTGTTCTCTCCTTGCGCCTCTGCGATCGGGGACGCATGCTGCATAAAGGAGTGGGGCGTCGGGGTCCTGTTGGCCAGGCCCTGGAGCACTCCCGGAGCGCATGGGCGCCGCGTTCTGCCTCCCCCGGGACGCCTGGTGGGACGCGCAGACGACTCCAGGAAATGCTCTAAGTTTCCCGTGTGGGCTCCGAGCAGATGGGGTCGGAGGCCTCGCCTTCGAGGGTCGAAGGAGTTGATGTCTCTTCCTCGTTTGAGTTCGATACCCGCAACTGCATATGGTTTGGCCTTCCCCCAGGATACTTATTCCCAACAATCCTGTGGTAATGGGTCCTCGTTTTGAATAGACAGTGCCCTGCATTCCTTCATCCTTCCTTCCTCCTCCCCCTCCTCCATCCTCCCCCTCCTTGCCTCTGCCCTCACCCCTCACTTTGGCACACCCCTCACACGTGTCGTGGCTCCGTAGAGAGCTCCTCCGAGGGCCCACGCGCTACCACCCGCATGCGTTCCCCCATCGAGTACATCGTTTCGTGGCCCCAGAGGCCATAGGGAGCTCCACCGAAGGTCCCAGTGCTACCGCCCACATGCCCCCCCCCACCCTCGCCCAGTAGAGCGTTTCGTGGACGCATAGGGGGCTCCACCGACAGCCCCAGTGCTACCGCCCGCATGCGTCCCCCCACCCAGTACAGCGCTTCGTGGCCCCATAGGGAGCCCCACCGACGGCCCCCAGTGCTACCGCCCGCATGCGCCCCCCCACACCCAGTACATCGTTTCGTGGCCGCATAGGGAGCTCCACCAAAGGCCTCAGTGGCGCAGCCCGCATGCGTCTCCCCCACCCAGTACAACGTTTCGTGGCCCCATAGGGAGTTCCACCGAAGGCCTCAGTGCTACCGCCCGCATGCGGCCCCCCCCCCAGAGTACAGCGCTCGTGGCCCCATAACGAGCTCCACCGAAGGGCCCAGCGATACCGCCCCGCAGCCCCCCCCACCCAATTACAGCGTTAGTGCCGTACAAGGGAGCTCCACCGAAGGCCCCAGTGCTACCGCCCGCATGCGCCCCCTTACCCAGCACGTACAGCGTTCGTGGTCCCAAAGGGCGAGCTCCACTGAGGGCTCCCAGTGCTACCGTCCCGCATGCGTCCCCCAAAAAACCATACAGTCCAGCACTTCGGGCCCCAAAGGAGCTCCATCGACGGCCCCAGTGCTACCGCCCGCATGTGCCCCCTCCCACCCCACCCAGCACAGCGTTTCGTGGCTCCATAGGGAGCTCCACCGAAGGTCCCAGTGCTACTGCTTGCATGCGTCCCCGCCCCACCCAGTACAGCGCTTCGTGGCCCCGTACTCAGCTCCACCGACGACCCCCTGTGCGCTTTGTGGCCGCATAGGGAGCCCCACCGACGGCCCCAGTGCTACTGCTCGCATGCGCCCCCCCCGCCCAGTACAGCGTTCCGTGGCCCCATAGGGAGCTCCACCGACGACCCCCAGTGCTACCGCCCGCATGCGCCCCCCCATCCAGAAAAGCGCTTCGTGGGCGCATCGGAAGCTCCACCGACGGCCCCAGTGCTACCGCCCGCATACGTCCTCCCCATCCAGTACAGCGTTTCGTGGCCGCACAGGGAGCTCCACCGAAGGCCCCACTGCTACCGCCCGCATGCTCCCCCCCTACCTAGTACAGCGTTCCGGGCCCCACAGGGATCTCCACAGGCGGCGCCAGTGGCACCGTCCGTATTCTTTTCTCCAACACAGTACAGCCTTTCGTGGCCCCATAGGGAACTCCACCGAAGGCCTCAGTGGCACTTTGCGCATGCGTCCCCCGCCCAGTACAGCGTTTCGTGGCCCCGTACGGAGTTCCACCGTAGGGCCCTGTGTAACCGTCCGCATGCGCCCCCCCCCCCACACAGTGCAACGTTTCGTGGCCCATAGGGAGCTCCGCCGAAGGCACCAATGGCATAGTCCACTTGCGTCTCCCCCACCCAGTACAGCGTTCCGAGGCCCCGTAGCGAGCTCCACCGAAGGCCCCAGTGGCAAAGTTCGCATGCGTCCCCCCCGCCCACTACAGCGTTTCGTGGGTCATAGGGAGCTCCGCCGAAGACGATACCTTCAACTGCGGGACTCACTACTGCATAGGGTTGGGCTTCGCCAGGCTAGCGTTTTCCATGTTTTCTGGGCTTGACTGTTTTGTAAGTGTCAGCAGACTTTTGGGTT